AAGGACAAATTAAAAAGACTTGAAGGAGAGCAAAGATTTTAGCATTAGTAGAGTTAGTCCAAACCGTAAGAACAGCAGTTAAGAATTCTATGTTTAGAGAGTCATATATCAAGTAGAATGATGAGCTTAAATATGAAGCCAGAGGTAAAGAGATAAATTTGTATAAACTGTTTGTATAAAATATAAGAGATCTTTCATTTTTAAGAATATGTTAAAATTCAATAAGGATAAACTAATACTGTTATTTAGAAATAAATTGTAAATGGTAACAAAGAATTGAGCACTAAGGATGAAATTGTTTGAAATAATAGTGAAGGTATACTATCAAATAATGTTATTTTGTCTGATCAATAATCAACCAAATATTTCTTTTGAGAAGGTATAACTTGTTATAATTAATAGAGAAAAAATAGATAACTTCAATTATCTGAGAAAAGTTATCATCAACAATATTATCACAAGGTCAAACAGTAACTGCTGCATTAAAATTGAGGATAGAATCCAGTGAGTTAAATAAGCATTCTGAACAAGAAGTAAAAGATTTTATTTTTTTGATACTGATCTAGGATCATGATTGATAGCTAAATTGTTAACATAGTGTTATATAGCAACTTTGTTAGAGATAAAATGAAATCTGATAGCTTTTCCAATAATATCTTGACTATGGTAAGGTAAATTATAATAATTCTGTTCTAATGGCATCCACAGAGCTATCTATAGAGATTTTTTTTGTTACTGTCAGAGGTGAAAGTAGTGATATAGCCTTGAAAGGTAAAATCATTAATACAGTATTTAAATTTAAGACAGTTTAAATATATGGGATTCAGAAGAATAACATGTTGTAGAGTAATAAACCATTCTAGGATAGCTTTCTGTTAGGATTTAAGAGAAAGATCATAATACTCCATTAAAAAATTTTCTTGTATAATGAATTGGTCGAGAAATAAAGCTTTATATCTTCTTAGTAAAGGGATCCATTTCTTCTTTCATAAATAAGAGAATTAAAAGTTATGAAATTACCTTGAATATGAAAATCAGGAGTAGTGAAAACAGTTCTATACATCAAAAAAAGACCTTAAAGATAAAGGATAAGTATATTATAAAGGTAATTTTTATGTCTCACATTTTTAAGTTGTTTTAACCAACATGTGATAGGGTTATCTGATAATCAAAAAAAATTTTGAAGTTGTTTGAGACAAATTTTAGTAGTCAAAAAAAGTAGTAATTTTGAAGCGTCTCTATTAATAATTAAAGTAAATTGCTGCAATTTAAAATATAACATATTAGAGGCTAAATTGTTAAATTCAAATGATAACTTATTTAAGATTATGCTATTAGAAGTATATAGTAATACCTCTATAAATGCATGCTCTATAAATGCATACCCTCTCTATATACATATTATAGTTTAGTCCTAAGCTTAAGACTTAGAGCTAAATGTATACCCTTCATATTCTACATGTGCAAGAAATTTTAAATTTCAGGTATAATTGAAATACCTCTATAAATGCATTTACGTGACTAATATATAAATCTAGCCAATCAAAAATAATTATTTAATCACGTGATTAGTTTTATTATCAAAGTAAAAAAGTATCAGATAATATATTTGACTATTGAAAATTTTACATTTTGTAAAAGAAAAAAAATTTAAATTTATTAAAAATAAATAAAATTTTATATTTTTGAGTATTATATAATCTGATTAAAAAAGTATTGAGTGAAAGTGTGTGAATAAATATTTATATTTCATTGTAATTAGTCAAATTAGTAATTAGAAAAAATTTAGAAGCGAATATTATATTTGAGAAAATAGAACATAAACAATCCTATAAAATAAAGTAAGTAAATTGATGTTATAAAAAGGAATAAAATTATAATTAAATTCATCATCTATCTAAATTAAGGAATGAATTTCTGGTTATTTCTATTGAAATAGATCATGTTTGATAAATTGAAAAAATCAATAAAAAATATCTAAAAAAACCACTTTTTCTGAAATTCAAAAGCGAGACTTTTGTAAATATGCTCGGTGATAATAGCAAAAAAACCTGAGTCCAGTATATTAATTGGATTGAAAAACAGTGGAGTCTTAGAGTTAGTGAAAGTACCATTACCTGTACCCTACAAATAGTAGACTAATAACTTAATTTAGAAACTATTAATCCAAATACAAAATGACATAAACCTGTTTTTTTTCAGAACTTGAATTTGTACTTAAAAAATTTGTTTTAGAATATTAGCATTGGATGATTTTAAGTGATGTAATACTTATCGAAAAAGTTAAGATGATTACTGATAGACTAGAGATTCCTCAGAATGCATTTCAATTTTCTCAAGAATGACTTCAAAAATTTAAGAATCGCAATAGAATTTGTCAACGAAATCTTGAAAAAGAAGCTTCATCTGCTAATAAAATTGCTATTGCTAATGCTTTACTTTATTAAGAGAATATTACTTTAATTATTTTCTCGAGAGAATCTACAATATGAATTAAACCAGACTATTTTATAGATAAAATTTTTAGTAATATAAATAAAAAAAATTAAAATAAAAGAAATATACTTATTTTGCATAATTATAAATTAGAATCCAATTGAATACTTACAACTAAACATCTTGCTAAACGTAAGATAAATAAAGAATGTCTTTCAATTGCATTATGTGTAAATGCTGATGAATCACACAAATTTAAACCCCTAATAATTGGCAAATATGAAAGGCCATATTGTTTTAAAAATATAAAGATTCATAATATGTCTATGATATATCATAACAATGCTAAAGCCTGGATGATTACGTCACTTTTCAAGAGTAGATTCAAAAGTTTGATCATCAAGTTGATCTAAAATATCAAGGTTAATGGATTTTATTTCTTCTTGATAACTGTTCCAGCCATAAGTTAGTCAGCCTTTTCTTACAATATATCAATATTCATTTTTTACTTTCTAACACAACTTCAAAAATCCAACTGATAGATTCTGAAATCATCATAACTTTTAAAAAACATTATTGTTATCATCATATATAGTAAAATATATCTATAAATAAATTTATTAAATATTATAAGTGCTCAAAATCTAATTACTTATTTTTTTTAAAAGCTTAATGCTTCGACATATAGAAAAAGGTAACTGTGTAAAAGATTTACATATAAACGTCTTACAGGCAATTCATTTTATTATCTAAGCTTAGGATGAGATTAATATTAATATCATTCGTAATTGCTAGTATTATACAAAGATTCTTTCCACTTATATTAATGTAGATGCAGATTTAAAAAATGTTTCAGATGATAAAAATTTGGTATTTAATAACTTTATAAATACACTTCAAGTCCTTAATTTTTCCTATCAAATATGGTTAGAAGAGTTTTTTAATCTTCCTGAAGAAAATGTTATTTACAAAGTTCCTGTAAGATGATCGAATCATTGAAGAACTTATATATCTTTTTAAAAATGCTGATTAGGAAAATGTAGACCTAGAAGAAATAGATGATAGTTGTGAAATTCCTGTTATTAGTACTAATACTGCAGTAACTAGTTTAGAAACGTTACACACATATCTACTTCAACAGGACAATGCAGAAGAATATGTAAAGTTAATGAGAAAAATTGAAAATTTTGTTAAAGTCAAAAAAAATAAACTCGATATGGCAAACTGATATTAATATATATATTTAGCTTTTAAATGTGCATTATACAATTTAAAAATTCAAAAAATTTTAAATAAATACATTCAGATTTTGATTTTGTGTAATCATATCTATTTTCTATTAGCTGTTCCATAAGTGACCTCTCCATAAATGCATGTTTATTTTCAATTCCTAGGGGATGTATTTATGGAGGTGTTACTGTATTTGTTGAATTTGAGTTTGTGTTTTATAAAAGAACGAATGCGAAAAAAAGTGTAAAACACTTTTTATGTAAAAAATAATTAGTTGAGAGTGGTATTCAAGCTGAGGAATAAGAACTTAGTTGTAGAGGTATCTCAGCTATTTGTTCATTATAGGTTTAATGTTGAGTTTCAAAATAAAGTCAGTAATTTCATTTTCTAGTTGTTGTTTCACAAATTTTTTGTTATAAAGTGCTAAAATCTAAAAATCTAAATATCTAATCAATTTATTAGGTTTTTTAATTAATATAGTTATTAGACTATTCAAATAAGTGCTGTAGAAAAAGATATCATTAGTAGTTATTTCGGAGGTAACTATGAAAGATTTTTTCAAATTAACTTGCATTGAATTGAGATCAAAGAAGGATTGTGCTAAATCAAAAATGTCTTTAAGTTTAGAGTGACTATCAGTGATCTATATAGTATCATCTATGTACACTGAATTTGGGATACAGGTTAAGATATTATCTATTTCCAGTTTGTTGATATTTGGTGACCATGAGACATCTATGTATAACTTAGATTGAATTTTTATATATGAGAGAGAAGAAGATCATAATAGATAACCCATAAGAGTGGAGAAATGACCTCTTCCTGATTAATACTGATAAGAATATTATAAAACTCAATATTGCCATATAAAGTGAAGACACTATTTTTTCTATTGAGAAACAGATTTGTGATGAGTGATATAAAAGAATCTGAAATTTTTTAGTTTATATAGAGCTTTTTTTAACATAAAAATATTAACTTGATTATAAGCTTTTGATATGCCTTAAAAGAGTATATATACCGTATAGTACTGACTAAAAGATTCTCCTTTTGACGTATCCCATTATAATATATCTGGGTATTTTATTAGACAAGTAAAAAATTTTCTGATTAAGATCTGGGTATAATTCAATTTTTTAAATGGATAAATTGATATAGACCCAGGTATTTTATCCGTCAATAAAATGCATTAATTAATATCAAAATTTTTTTTAAGGACTTTCAAAATTTCAAAATTATATTATTTTAATAAATACAGTATATAAAATTTAGTTAGTCAATAATACTTTATTATTACAAAAATATGCATAAAACTCATATTATAACTATCAATTTCAATCTTGAATTACATTTTGTTCTTCATTCTTTTTATAATAATTATCCTCTAATTCACTTTCATCACTATCTTCTAATTCAATTTCATTACTATCTTCTAATTCACTTTCATTTTCATTATAATTACTATCTTCATCACTGTCTTCATCATTACCTTCATTATCTTTTTCAACTTCCCTTTTAAGATCAACCTCTCTTCCAAGATCTTCTCTATTTACTCTATCTTCTAATTGATTAAAATCAAAAATTAAAGTATCTTCTGTTCTATCTGCAGCATTTAAAATACCACAACACTTAAATGACTGTCTAATCTTATTAATATCAACAGCATTCCAACCTTCCTTTACCCAGTTTGCTACAAGCAAATAAGATGGTCTTTTGATTTTTTCAGATGGAGTATAATCTTTAATAGCATTACACATCCAATCATTATAAAGATTTCGTACCTAATTTTTAAAATTAAAATTTATTATA